TTCTTCACTCTGCGAATTTGAAAAGTCGTGGACTCCGCCCTTCACTGCCAAGTTGGACACCCCCACATATATACATTTCCAATGATCGTGAGTCGATCCCCCCAACCAAGTACATCTTTTCTTCTTTGCTTTCTTCGCCGGCTCTTCTTCTCCTGCCGAACTGATGGCTGTAGAACCGGAGGCATACCATTTAGATCAAATTCAGTGTCTCTTTTAAGGCAGCATACAAACATAAATTCATGAGGCAGCAATAAATATAAATTAATTACTTCAAAAAAACAGATCGAAGATTAATACTTCTAAATTACTTCTATTTTCCTTCGGTTTAATTCCTTCCAATTTCTTACGAAACATTATCTGCATATTTCCTACGAAAGACTCCTACCATTTTCCTACCATTTTTCAGATTTTGTAAGAAAAAAAAATAATTTAATAAAATCAAAAAATTAAATTAATTTCAAAAATTAAATTTCTATTAAAGATGAATTAATTATCAATTCAATTATTAATATCTTATATATAAAAGAGGGCCAACTCTCCAGCTTGAGAGAATGACACATGTTCACTTAAATTTAAGTTAATAAATTTAAAATTAATTTTAAACTACTTAAAGAAAATGAAAATTTTTTTTTATTAATTGACTCTGAACTAACATTTATGTCAATGTTAAACAAGAATTTATGTTATAACTAATTAAAAATATGTTGACAAAAAAACTAATTAAAAATATTGATGGATATCTATTAAATTTTTATATAACCAAAAAAAATTTATATAACTCTAGATTACTTAATAATATACAATATATAATTTAAATTGATTTTTTAAGATTGTTTATAATAACATACTAACAAGTAACAGATGATGATTATATTAATTTTTCTGAAAATATAAAAAATACAAATTTGAAATAGTTGAAAAGAAAAACCTGTACGTTATGTGCGGGTATTCACCTAGTATTTAGAAAAGACGAAGACTAATGAATGAGAAGATAAAAGACTCTTATTTATAGTGGAGCTTCATCATCTAGATCATCCCATGTTCTCGATGTGGGACAACCCAAAAGGTGAAATGTGCCTACAGAATTCCTACAGTTTTTTTACAGATAAAATTTCATCAAAAATGGATAGAAAATACTCGACGAAATATTCACCAGCATAACGGTCAATTAGGTCCTATTACTTTCTTTTCAAATTTTGACCGAATTTTCTATGTATATAAATATGGTAAGTTATTGGTAGGAAATACCCTACCTTTTTTGTTGCTTTATTTTCGTAAGAAATTTCCTATCAATTTTCCATCACTTCTATTTTTCGTCATACTTTCTTAGAAATTGATTATACAAATTTCCTACCAAATATTTTGTCAGGATTTTCTAAAGAATATGAGATATTTTCTTGTAGTGTTCTAAACCAGAAGAGTTTAACATGGAGGAAGTTTCTCAGTTTGGTCTGTTTCTCAGTTTAACATGGAGGATGTTGCATTGTTTTCTTCGGTCTGTTTCTTTGAAGTACTTAATTTAGGTTTATTGCTGCCTCATGAATCTATGTTTGTAATGGTGGCTTATTATTGAGGGAATGTAATAACATTTTCAAATAAAAACATGTTGGATAGAAAAATAATTATTAAAGAGTGAATTGGACATTTTTTTTTGTTTGGAAATGTTATTATATTCCCTTAATAATAAGCCACCATGACAAACATAAATTCATGGGGCAGCAATAAATATGAGCTTCAAAAAAACATACCGAAGATTAATACTTCCAAATTACTTCCATTTTCCTTCGGTTTAATTCATTCCAATTTCTTACAAAATATTACCTACATATTTCCTACGAATTATTTCTACCATTTTCCAAATATTTTTTAAATTTTGTAAAAAATAAATTAATTTTATAAAATCAAAAATGAAATTACTTTCAGAAATTAAATTTCTGTTAAGATGAATTAATTATCCATTCGATTATTAATATCTTATATATAAAGAGGGCAAACTCTCTCCAGCGGAGAGAATGACATATATTCACTTAAATTTTAATTAATAAATTTAATATTAAATTTTGAACTACTCAAAGAAAATAAAAAGTTTTTTTATTAATTGATTCTTAACTAACATTTATGTTAATGTTAAACAAGAATTTATGTTATAACTAATTAAAATATGTTGATAAAAAAATAACTAAAAATATTGATGGATATCTATTAAAATTTTATATAACTCAAAAAAAGTATATAACTCTAGATTATTTAATAATATTCAATATATATTTTAAATTAATTTTTTAAGGGGAATTGCCAAAAATAGGCCACAATTTGAATCCAAATGCAAAAGTATACCCCAAATTCAACCTCTTGCAAAAATATGTCAGAGGGGTAGAGAAATTATTATCATCTCCTACATGAGTAAACAAAAAAACGGATGACTCAGTTACGATTTTAACTATGCGAAGCTGCAAATATTAATGAAGTCTTCTCCGCAGACTTATAAAGAAGTCTGGAATATTATTAAATCTTATATTTACATTTTAAAATTATATAAAAAAAATTTAAACTGAAAATTATTTCTATAAATCAAATATCAACAAGTATGATCTATATTAATTATAATTTAATAAAAATGAATCATTTTAAACCATCTAAGATAAACATCAAAAGTGAATAATTACAAACTAGGATTGTAGACTTCTTTATAAGTCTGCTGAGCAGACTGTAAAGAAGTCTGCTATATTATTAAATCTTATATTTAAATTTTAAAATTATATAAAAATAATTTAAACTGAAATTTGTTTCTATAAATCAAATGTCAACAAGTATGATCTATATAAATTAGTATTTAATAAAAATGAATCATTTTAAACCAGCTAAGATAAACATCAAAAGTGAATAATTCTAAACTAGGGTTGCAGACTTCTTTATAAGTCTGCTCACTTTATAAGTCTGATGAGCAGACTGTAAAGAAGTCTACTATAAATGTAAACTGTATAATTTAATTTTAGAATTATATAAAAAATTTGCAAGCGGAAATTTGTTTTCATAAATCATATATAAGCAATTATGAGGTTTATAAGTAAAAATATAATATAACCGAATCAATTTAGAACAACAAATATAAACTTATTCAATATGGGGTTTAATTGTGGTTTCCAGACTACGGATCGAAGTCTTTTCAAACCGGAACCGAAATCAAAATTAAATATTGATAGAAACCGTAAATAATTAACCTAACCAGAATTTTTTTAACATAGTATATAAAGAAATTTACCAGCTGTAACCATAAATAAAAAACCCTAGATCACTATAAAACAGCGCTGCACTCTGGTCTCTCTCGCCGCGACTCTCTCTTGCAGTAAGCTTTTCCTGGCACTCCCCATTTATTCTACTCCCCTTCCATCTATTGAACTCTTATATGGTTTCTGATGCAGATATCTGGCGGCGTCTTCATCCTCCTCTCGGCATTTTTCAGCTGGTAAGCCTTATTACTCACCCTCCTACTACATCTCTTCTTTTTCGTTTCTGATGCATATGTTGTTTCATATATCTCACTAGATATATTATTGCTGCAGAATCACCCGACTTCTTCATCGTTCTTATTTCTTTCTCCAGATCTGTGAGTTCTTCACCATTACATTCTCTGTTTAGTTTTTATCTTATTGTTTACTTGTTTGTTCCATTGTCCTTTCAAATTTTTCCTTTAAAAGTTGTCCTTTCAAATTTGTCATTTTGCTTTACTATTTTTTTTCACAGATCTAAGCCCAATCCCATGAGCAAGTAAGTAAAAATATTTGTTTATTATAAGATGTAAGTTTTTTGTTATTTTGTTTTTTAGCAAGTAAGAAATACTTGTTTGGAAAGTTTGTTTTTGTTATTTTGTTTTTTAGCTGCAAAGTTATTATTTTTATTTTTTTTTTGTTTTTGTTTTCATGTCATTTTTTCCTTT